GGCGCTCCCGCCGCCCTGCCCGCTCCCCCTCACGGCGCTCCCGCAGCCCTGCCCGCTCCCCCTCACGCTCCGCGGCTCCCGGGCTCCCGCAGCCCTGCCCGAGCACGGGCGGGCGGCAGCAACGGGACATTATGAGGGAAGCATGAGGGAACCGACTTAGGGGGAAGTAGGGCAGTGCTGTGGGGTGGGGTTTTGTGGAGGGTCTGGAGCATCTCCCTGATGAGAGAGTGCGGCAGCTGGGCCTGGTTAGTCTAGAGAAGACCGAGAGTCCCCTCTCGTTAATAATGAACCCCTCAAAGGTGGCAGAGGACGGGGCCAGACTGTCCGGTGATGCCCAGCGACAGGACGAGGAGCAATAGCCATGAACTAAAACACAAGAAGTTCCACCCCAACACGAGGAAGAAGTTGGCATGAGGGAGGTAAAGCCCTGGAACAGCTGCCCAGGGAGGGAATGGAATCTGCCCCAAACCCATCTGGACACGTTCCTGCTCCAGGGGGCCCTGCCTTGGACTGGATGGGCTGCAAAGTTCCTTCCAAACCTATGGATTCTGTGCATCCCTGCGGGCAGCCATAGGGAGTGAGATGGGATTGACCACAGCCCACACCAGCCCGAGGGGCTTTTTCTTAATCTTTTGGGGCTGAGCACCAAATATCAAATATCACCATTCACACCCTGAGCCGCACCCAGCCCAAACTTCTCGTGGAGTGTAAATATCATTTGCAGCTCACAAATGAGTGCTAACACCCAGCTTAGCTTGGGCTTTCTGTGACCTCCAGATGTGTTGGCAGCTCCTGGGAGCACTATTTGGGCACCCACAGTTTGCTTTTACAGGATATAACAATTATAAATATGAAAAAAAATTCATTATTGTATGAAATTTCTGTTCCTGGTGTTTTCTTAGGACTGCTACTGTGCTTTTTTATTTTATTTTCAAAATTTATTTTTTTGTTTTAAAAATTATGAGAGGCAGAGCTCCTGCTGTTTCGCTTTGGGCACAATATTTTTAAAACCCAAGCTGTTGCTATTCCTCCCGCTTTTGTGAGAGGATATTATTCTTTGTCCTTTATTACAGAAAGAAATGTTATGGGGTGGGAAGAAAGGAATGTGACATAAACAGACCATAGAAGATTGTTTTGTCCTTGTTTGTTTTGTTGGGTTTTTTTCGTACTTTTCCTGTTAGTGGTTTCAGATTTTTCTCTTATTTTCTGAAACGATGCAGATTTATTTTACCTGAGGGAATACAGCTGATTCCTGCAGGCAATTAGCCTCCCCACCACCCGGGGGTAGGGGTTATTTAGCTCAGTTACTTTTGGAGGTCTGTTAAAAGCAGGACAGAGCTGAATGCTAGTGCACGAAGGAAAAAGTACTGCTAATGTATTGAAAAGGGTATTTTTTAAACTTAAAATATTATTTATTTTGCTTTAAAATAAAGTATCTAGTAAGTTTTCTTAAAAAATACAAACCTGGTGAAGGTAAATATATTTTTCAAGTGCTGTGGTAATTGACTTTATCTTCTTGATAAATTACTATGTTTTGAAAAATGAGCTAGGTTGCACCTTCAGTATTTCAATTTGCACCTTCAAATTTGCCTAGCAAATCTTTGTAGACGAAGTAAATGTATCTGTGAAGAGATGATATTGTATAAAGCCGCTCTGGATTGTGTTATGTATTCAGTCTGTAACTTATTTTGGTGGAGCCTGAAAAATAATCTTCATGGCAAAAGCAATTTATTCTCTTGGTAGAGATAGAATTTAAATATATAAAAATTTGGTTTTTATTAATGCTACATGGTTTGATATACTTATATATTGAACAGTTTGGTGCTCTTTTATCATAAATAGTCATTTTGTTTTTAAAGGTGTTACAGAGAGTTGGTGGAGTTTTCAGTCGCTGTGTTGAGATAGTAGGTAAACATCAAAATAATGTATTTAGCAGCAAAACTGACTTACAACAGACTATTTTATTGAATAACTGGTTACTCCTTTGTTATAATGTTTGTTTAATCTTTTTTTTTTTTCTTTAAACCATATTGGGAGCTTGTTAACAAAACAACTCTATTCAATAATGTGCTTTTCACATCCGTAAATTATTTTAATGCAATCACTCATTAATCATTGCAGATGTTGGAAAATCCTTCTGACTCCAGTGCTTGTTGGCAGAGCTTCTGATGGATATTCTTATCTTTGTTGGTATCTTTCTCTTTCCTTTCGTCTTTTTTTTTTTTTCACGTGGAGGAATAGTTAAAGGACTTTGACACACCCTGCCAATGCCTGAAAGCAGAATGGGGGTGGGTGTTGTTTGGGGAAAAACCTTCAGTGGGTCTGGCTGCTGCAATCGGAGCTTTTGAAGATGCAGCTGGGTATCTGAACCCCTCACATGCACAGAATCTGCAGTGTGGGACATCTGGGTGTCATTGCAGGGGAAGGGGATGCAGACAAGGCTCACGAGGGGTAAATGCAGAAAGAAAATCTAATCGTGGTTATTGTAAAAAAAAAAAACCAACAAAAACAAACTGCCCCCAGAGATCAAACAGCCTCTGGGTTGTCAGAGCTCCCTGTGTGGAAGAAGCTCGGATGGAAGGGATTTTACATCTCTTTACATCTGCAGGCATGGTTGTGTGGTTTTAGGAGAGTGGGGATAGAGCCTGGTGTAATTCTGCCCCCCCCAAAAAAGCTCAAAAGCCTCAAAAAAACCCTAATCCCAACCAGATATTCGTGTTGAGTTACTGTTTCTGACCACCAGTGAATTGCTGAAGCTCCCCTCTGCTGCAAGAGGCCCTTCCCATGGAAGGCTGAGAGTTGGGATTGCTCAGCCTGGAAAACAGAAACTTCAAGGTGACCCAACTTCAGCCTTCCAGCACCAGAAAGTTCCTGCAGGGAGGAGGGACTCTTTCCACAGGGCACAGAGAATGGCTTCACACTGACAGAGAGTGGATTTAGATTAGATTTTGGGAAGAAATTCCTCCCTGTGAGGGTGGGGAAGCCCTGGCACAGGGTGCCCAGAGAAGCTCTGGCTGTCTCTGGATTCCTGGAAGTGCCCCAGGACAGGCTGGATGGGGCTTGGAGCAACCTGGGACAGTGGAAGGTGTCCCTGCCCATGACAGGGGTGGGAATGAGATGAGCTTTAAGGTCCCTTCCAACCCAAACTGTTTCATGATTCCTTTCCAAATATGTTTGTGGATGGATGACTAAAGGCATTTTGGTCTGAAAATTACTACAGAAAGTAGCAATGTTGTCTCTATCTCACAATTTTTGACTCTGTAACTGAGCTTCAAACTGAAAATAGGGCATTTTTGTTATTTTTTTCCTGTTGCGTTCATAGATTTATATTTCAGCCAAATTAGGAGCTGTATGTTTATTAAAATTCACACAGGAAGCAACAGAATTGCCTCTCCTTCTGCTGCTGTTTTCTCACTGCTGTATCCTCGGGTCAGGTTAAGTCACCTGCAGTTTCACCTGACTCATTTTTAACTTAAACCAATTAGGAAGTGCTCACATAAGGAGTAATTTTGGGTGGTGATTTTTGTCAGGGAAGTGGTGATCAGTGTTTAGGAGCCCTCTCACTGACCTAGTGAGGGACTGAGAGGGGAGGCCTGCAGATGCTCTGCCTTTTAAATGCCTGTCTCAAATGATTTTGTAAATAAGTTCTGTATTTTATTTTTTTTCCCCCAGGAATATAGTTCTAGAAAGCCTGAATAAAAAATATGGAATCTGCTTCATGTGCTGCAAGTAAGAGAAAGATGTTGTTTGCGTCTTTTCCTCAAAGGTAAGATACTTGTCAGAAAACAAAAAAAATGTTTGTAAAATTTATGTGGTAACAAAGAGGAAGTCCAGTACGGATGGAATTGAAAATTTGAGCTAACTCATCAATGAGAAATTAAGATTTGGATCATTATCTGGCACAGTTTAGGCTTTTCAGATTAGACCAGCAGTTCTTGTTTTGTCATGGGTTAAATGAGAGCTTGTTTATGTGAACAATTTTGTTTTTTAATTACTATAGCTGGGCATAGTTAGTGGAAAGAGAGGTTCTAAGAAAACAATAAAAACCTGCTGAATTTCCTTACAATATGCTTATTTTGAAGTGGGAAGGAAGTGAACTGACATGGATAACATATGAACCTACTATATCTCCTTGATGTGGATATTAAAGGAACCTTGAAAATAGTTTATGGGGAAGTTGTTGGAGGCTTCTAATTTTAAATTCTTAACAGGAAATCATTAAACTGTAGAGGAGCCAACATAACAGACTGTTGCTCTAAAACAAGAGCTAAATGCAGAGCATCCACATGAACTTGTCAGATCTTTTTTTAATGGTTTTTTTTTTCTTTCCTTTCATGTTTACTGCAACCCAGATAAATACATTTTCATTTCTGTTTTTCATATACATCAGTTCAGTCCCATTCCGAATGAGATGTGAAACCAGTGCCCTGATGGTCTGACCTCAGGGCAAGTGGAGAAATTCACATTATCCATCAGACCCAGGGGTGTTAACTCCTTGTGGGGTCAGGTCCCACCTTCCTTCACCGACTGGGAGAAACCTTTAAAAATGGGGATATTGTTCACTTTTAGTTTCCTTCTTTACGTGAGATTTTCAAGCTTTATCTGAGCCCTTGCTGAGATGATTGGCACATTTCACACGGGCTATGCAAGAGGTTTAACAACCTTTGGGCACTGTCAGCTAGGCTGATGAAGCTTAATTAGGGACTTAATTAGGGGCTGGAGGAAGGAGAAACATTCTGAGGTATCTGTAAGCACTAAGACATGAAGGTGAGTCCCCAAATGCAGAGATTGTTTTCAGGTCAAAAAGGCTTTAAGAATGTGGGTTTGCCAAAGCCAGGTGGGCTATAATTAATAAGTTTGTACCTAAATGATGAGCTTTTCTCTATTTGACATTAATCTGATGCGAATTTTTGGGTGTTGATAATTACATATATTTCATCTGTCAGACAAAAATGAGTCATGGCTTTTGAAAAATATAACTTGGAGTATCTTTAAAGCTTCTAGGGAATACAGGGCAGGAGGTTGGGAAAAGAGAGGGCAGGATGCTGCTCACCAAGCACCACATTGTGATGGGGAAGTAGGAAGAACTTGAAAGTACCTGTCTTGTTTCTTTTGATTGTCTGATGCAGCTGAGGGGAAGGAATTCTGCTGTAAAAAAGTGTAACTAATTTAGTTTAAGCCTATTTGAGATTTTTTTTAAGCCCCAGTTAAAAGAAAATCTGAAGTCTTCATCACATAAGGAATCGTGGCCTTTAATTTTGAGAAATTATTTCAGTTAGTTGAACCAGAACATTCTGAGGTGGATTTATCTCAGCAACTGTTAGACAAAATGAGGATAAGCTATCATTAAATCAAGTAAATATCTGATTGTGTTTGGATTAGAAATATTTAATATGAAATTAATTTAATTCTTATGTAAAAAAAGCTTTTAACAATGAGTGATTTAACCTGACTTCTGCATCTGAAATATATAGCTGAGGAACCATGGGCAGTTTCTGCTTAGCATTTGCTTCCTTTAAGCATAAACCAAGAAAAGCACTCCCCATTTTTATAAAAACATCAAGAATGCATAAAAATTGCTGTATTTCCCTTCAGTTATTGCCTTTTCTTTGGGTCCTGGGGTTTGGAAATGGCAGTGGTACTTTCTGCCAAGCTTCATCCTTATTCAAAGTTTTTCTCCCTGCATCAAAATTCATCTTTATTAGGAATTTTTCTCCCTGCATCTTCAAATTTTATATGTTCCTATTTCTGCGAGGGTCTGGTTCAGCTGAAGGGGCTGGAGGACTTCAGAAGAAAATGAGGAAATATGGTTTGAGTTGCCACAGAATCTGCTGGTTGTGTGCCCTGTAAATCTTGAAGCACTTTGCTTTTCCAACAACAGTTTGGGGAGTGTAGTTGTTGCAGGCAAAAACATCTTTAATGTATTGTAATTTGATTGAATTTGTGAGTGTAGGTATGATTTATATGGTCTATTGTCTTGATTGTGTAGAAGTATTGACAGAAATGAGGCACTTTTTCATTGGAAAGGCAAGAACAAAACTTAGATATAAAAAGAAATACCTTTAGGGTTTGAAAAGGAGTTTCTTCCATCATAACTGGGGTTGTTTTTTGGTTTTTTTTTCCTTTGTGTCTTTCTTTTTACCAGACTAGCTAAAGTATGTATATGTAAAGTGTAAGGGTAGGAGCCAGTCTGTGTAGTTCTGTTCCTGCAGTAGCTTGTGATTTTCCACTCAAAATTATTTAGTGGAAAGCATTGCCTGTGTTAAATGAGACTACTCCTCACATGACAACATCTCTGACTACATTTGTCCATCTATGAAATGGGGATATTGCACTTCTTTGGAAGAAATGGGCTGTAGCTGGCCCTGTGATGACACAGGTCTGACAATGTTATTTGGGGTTTTTTTGTTGACAGTTTTAAGTCAGTTTGTTTATTTTCTGTTTACTTCATAATCACAAATGTGCTGCAATGTGGGTGGCAGTGCAGGCCTGGCAATTGTCTTGGTTTGAAAGAGGTGTCTGATGAGGAAGGCAGGAGCCTTTTTTTGAAATGGAAAATGTAAACTCTTATAATTTTGAAATTAAGGGGATTTTAGGCAAAGGTATGGGAATAGGAATAACAGTTTTTTAGTAGGAAAATTAGTATAAATAAAACGTAGTAGTACAAAAAAGCACTGACAGAGTCAGAATTGAACCTGACCCTGTTGGTCCTGGAGTGACAGATGTGGTTCTGTAGAAGCAGTGACCCTGTAGAAGGGTGTGGTTTTCCTCTGAAGGTTCAGTGGTGCTGCAGATGGGTCCTGTTTTCCTCTGGGGATCCAGTGGGGAAAGGCTGCCCTGTGGTGTTCCAGGTCTCAGATTATATCCAGGTAGGAATGCTGGGTTCCTCCCCTGGTGGAGCATCTCCCACTGGGATGATGGGATTTTATCAGTCATGCAGGGACACTCAATGGACCATTAACTGAAGATTTCCCCCTGGAGTTATTTGGGATGGCTCATGGAAGGGGAAGGGATAAAGAACGCTGCCCCTCCCGGTTTTAACAGCTGATAATGGAATACAGACTTTTGGTTACATCTTGCATTGCAGCCTAAGACACAACTGATGTGTCCTGTCCATGGTTTTTATGTTAATTAAGAGGGAAATGGTGTTACATTGCCATGCCTTGGCTTGCATAAAGCCCAAATGAGTCTGTGTCTCCTTTACACAGTGTTGAAATGCCCAACATACTTGCATATAATATCATTATGAAACTTCATGGTCAGATTTTTAAAGCAATTCTATATTGGGGTTGATGATCTGGTGATTGATCTGAGGGTTTAAACACCTGTAAAGTAGGAAGGGATCGTTACCTGATTGGATTAGTGTGGATTAATTCCTTAATGGTTGTAACAGGTTTGCAAATCCCGCAGTGCTCCAGGAGTCCAAAGCTTTGTTGATACATTTTTTTATTTTTTTAAATACTGCTGACTTTAATGTGGTTGATGGAAGGAAATCCAAAGGGCTTGCAGTCCTTAAGCCAAACAATTATCTCCAGGGAAGTATTTTTGCAAAATTCCGTGGTGGTTTTCTCTGCAGGGAGAAGGGGCTCTGGGAGCTGGCAGTAAAACAATGTCTGGAATTTCAGCTATAAAAATGAAATGCACAAACCCCTCTAGCGTGAAGGAAACGTCTTCAATGGTCATGAGCATAAAATGGTGCGGGAAAGTGTAATTCCAGAGGAGTCATTGGTGGGAATCAAGTGGGAGAACAGGGGTGAAAGCAAGGAGCAGGGAAAGATGGGGGTCTGAGTAACCTTCGGGCTTTCTGGAGCAGGGAGGGACGGGAGGGCTGAGTAACAACCCGGGGGTTCCTGGAGCAAGGGGGGGAATCTTGTGCTTCCAGTTGTGCATCCTGCTTGCGGTGCTGAGGTCGGTGAAGCCTTTTTGTCGTGCGGCGATCCCGGGGGACACTCCCGGCTCTCTGCACCTTCCTGGTGAGGGCGAGCGGAGCGGCAGACCCCGAGGGACCGGCCTGAACTTGAGTCGGGGGAGGTTTAGGCGGGGATCAGGGCAAGGTTCTTCCCGCGGAGGGTGCGGGCGCTGCCCGCGCTCCCCGGGGACCGGGCACGGCCCCG